CGTCAAATCTTCAAGAAAAAGTCTTTAAATCTGCCAAGTCTAAAAGGTTGAAGTCTGCAAGTTAAACTCTTCTAAGCCACCAAATCATTAAGTGAAAGCCAACCAAAAGCCACCAATATAGTCTTGAAGTTTTCAAATCGATATAGCCTTTAATTCTTTAGTTGAAAGTTTCAACATATCTCCAAATATATGGTAGAAAGCTTTGATATCGTCTGCACCATCTTCAAATAATTATATCTTGAATTCTTTGAAGGAATGAAGTCTTTAATATGTTTGATTGCATGACTTGATTTATGTTGGAGAAAGACGATTCTTCAAATGTGAGGTTTTCTTTGCTAAGTGAAGTATTTTAAGTTGATTTCTTCTTCTACCTGCAAAAGAGAAGGGAAAAACATATCTATATAAAGGAGATCGTAAAATTACTTATGAAGACTGAAATTGAAGAGATGCTCTTGGTGGCCAGCTTCTTAAAGCAAATCATGATTTTCATGCAATCTCTAATTTATGTACCTTGAAATGAGGACGAGTTTCCATTCCTTTAAGCAGTACTGTCAATTGTTTTGGCGTTAAAGTAAGTCTTTGGCTTAGACGGTGTAATGATCTTTACCTCAGACGAAGTAAAGTCTTTAACTTAGATGGTATAATTATCTTCGCCTCAGATAAAGTAAAATTTTTGTCTTAGACGGTGTAATAGTCTATGCCTAAGATAAAGTGAAGTCAAATCTTCAAACAAAATAAAGTTTTCAGCTTAGATAGCGTAATAATCTTCGCTTAAGACAAAATAAAATCTTCGGCACAGATGGTGTAATGGTCTTTGCCTCAAATAAAGTAAAATCTTTGGCTTAGACGATGTAATAGTCTATGCCTGAGATGAAGTAAAGTCAAATCTTTAGATAAAATAAAGTCTTCAACTTAGACAGTGTAATGATCTTTTCCTCAGACAAAGTAAAGTCTTTAGCTTAGACGGTGTAATGATCTTCACCTTAGACAAAGTAAAATCTTTGACTCATACGGTTTAATGATCTTTACCTCAGACAAAGTAAAATCTTTGACTCATACGGTTTAATGATCTTTACCTCAGACAAAGTAAAATTTTTGGCTCAGATGGTGTAATAGTTTTTGCCTCAGATAAAGTAAATTTTTTGTCATAGACGGTGTAATAATCTTTGCTTCAAATAAAGTAAAGTCAAATCTTCAGATAAAATAAAGTCTTCAGCTTCGACGGTGTAATGATCTTCACCCCAGACAAGTAAAGTCTTTAACTTAGACGGTGTAATTAATGATCTTCACCTTAGACAAAGTAATATTTTTGGCGCAAACGGTGTAATGATCTTTACCTCAGACAAAGTAAAATCTTTGGCTCAGACGGTGTAATGGTTTTCGCCTCAGATAAAGCAAAGTCAAATCTTTAAATAAAATAAATTTTTTGACTTAGACGATGTAATGGTCTTTTCTCGAACAAAAGCAAAAGTTTTCAGCTTAGAAGGTATAATGAATTTTGCCTCGGACAAAAGTAATATTCCACACAAAGAAATTGATTCAGATTATTAAAGGGGCTTTGTGAAAAAATTACTAGCAATATTCTTGTTTGTACAGAACAAAGGAGATAAATGATGCTCAACTTATATCCTTAGGAATTTTATAGCAAATCACATACATGAATGAAAAAAATATATAGATCATTTATGTACATAAAATAGGAAAAGAAAGGGAGCAGCTGCATGGAATAGGAACCTCAACAACAAACAAACAAAAAGAAAAAAGAAAAAAAAGTACTTTGGAATTATATCTGCTCGTCTCCATTCAAATTCAAATTTCGTGGAATGAGACTTTAGCGACAGTTACGTGGAGCTTGGTTAGTTAATGTGATAAGTTTAACTCTAGGGGTGTTCGTCGGTCGGTACGGTACGATATTTAGATATTTCGATTCGATAGGTATTCGGTTTTTTAAAATATTATACCAATACCGTACCTAATTAAATTCGGTATGGTTTGATTTTTCTCCTTTCGGTTTATTCGGTTCGGTAACACCGGTTTATTCGGTTTGAATACTAATAAATGCATAGAGTAATAGACTATAATATTCTTAATTAAAGTACTCAAAAGGATAAAACTAAAAAGGTTTGTTGACAAAAGTTTTATCCAAAACTAGCAAATATCATCTTAGAGAGAGAAAACTGCAAATAAAGGAATAAATTTGATCATTAGAAATGTCTTCTTACTTGGTTAGAGTTAATTGATGAACTTAGAGAATAAAGAAAAGTAAAATTTTAAATTTTTTATATTTATGTTATAATTAATAATATATGTTTTGTGTAATATGATATATATTTCGGTACAATATCGGTATTTCAATATTTTATTTTACAATACTAAATACCATATTTTTTTAAAATATAAACCAAATACCATACCGAATATCAAATACCAAAATTTTCGATTTCGATATGATAATTCGTTATTTACCAAATTATGCACATCCTTGCTTCTGTTCCTTAGCCTTTCTAGAAGTTAAGCTCATCAAGTAATTGATATCAAGATTAGAAGTACTTTCACGTGGGCCATTACATGGATGAAATTAAAATTACAAGTGGTAATTGGAAAATAGTCATAATTTCAAAAGTAATCGAAATTTAGTCACTTCTCATTTAAAGATAAATCTAAACGAAAATACTATTCAAAATTCAAAAAATATTCCAGCATAATATACTGGAGTTCGAATTTTTTACATGTGAACTTCCAGCATAATATACCGGTCTAGCATAATATGCTGGAATTTCATACACAGATGCTCCAATCTCCAGTATATTATGTTGGAACTTTTCGTGTGCTGGAGTTTCACATAATATGCTGGAAGTTCATACATAGATGCACCAATCTTTAATATATTATGCTGGAACTTTCCGTGTTGCCGCAAAATAATGACTATTTTTTAATAACTTTGTAAACATTGACTATTTTTTAATTACCAGTTCGAAAACTGTCTAGTCCATACTATTTTTACCCAATATATATATGTGATATGTATGGATCTTAATTGATGCTTTAATCTTGACAAGGCCATTAAACCTCTGATCATTTATATAAAACTTTCTGCTCCATCAAACTGGACTTCATCAACGATGCAATTACAACAAGACAATCGATTTTTTTTTGTCTTATTCAAGCTTCGTGTACGAGGATTAACAATTTTATACCCGACAAATCTTGAAGTAGGGGGCATTTGTAAGAATTTAAATTTTATGATATTTAAATTCATAAAATATTTAAACTATATTAATCTTTAGACGATAGTCCAAATAAATATTGTGGTTAATACAATTGGATTAAGACGTCCAAATGTATTGTGCTAGTCTATTTAATTGGACTACAAATTAAATGATAAACCCAATTCATTAACCCAAGGTCCAAATAGCTATTAGTCCATCTTAAAGCCCTTATGCCGTGTGTCAAGTGATGTGGCAATTCAAGTCAAAAGAATGAGCCAATAAAATCATGCCACGTGCAAAGTGACGTGGCAATCCAAGCCAAATAAATGAGCCAATTAAATCATGCCATGTGCCAAGAAAGGGTGGCATACCACGTCAAATCAATAATCAATAGAGTTGTGCCAAGTGTCTAGATGGTATTGGTCAGTTCAAACGCATCAATCAAATCGCAAGAGCCACAACAGTCCCTACAACTATAAATAGAAGTCTTCATAAAGTTAGATCACACCAGAAGTGATAACAAGAAGCAAGTAGAGAGCTCGTAGATCAAACACCGCAGATTTCTCTACAAGCTACAAGTTCAAGCACTCAAGCTACAAGTTCAAGTTCAATATTAAGAACGGAGGCAAATCAAATACCAAGGCGTTCGAGATCAAATTACTTGTTCGTGATCAAATCTAAATCCAAGTTCAAGAAGGAGATTCAAGGCCAAGCTTTACAAGCCCTTGAATCAAATTAAAGTCAAGTTCATTAAGATACTTTACATTCTTGATGAATAAGAGGAATATCATAGAGATTGTAACACTCATTGTTTATTGAAACAATTTCTAGTCTTGATTATTTATTTTTCTCTGCGACGAAAATTTGTTGTTACACTTGTTTTTATATATTTCCCCGGCACCAAATTAGCGAAACAGAATCTCCATTTTAAACTTCCGCATCGTATCAAATTGGATATTGGATTTCTATTTGATAGTTGCATTAAATTTCTCTGATTCTTGAAATTGTGTGTATGAACTTTACCTGGGGCTCTCTTTTCCAACTTTTACTAAGTCGCTTTTTAATATCATCCATTGAAGGAGAAAACATTCTCTACCAAAGGTTCTCTATTCTTCAGATTCGAACCTGAAACTTAAGATTAAAGGGATCTCGTCTATTCCATACATTCTGTAATGGTACTAAATTACCTATTTATCCCTCCATTACAAGGATTGATATAGCCGATCTTTATTTAATTTAGGATTGAAACATATCCGATTAGTTTGCTATAATGACCATTTTACCCCTACATGGCTCTGCTCCAATATGCACTTGGAAATAAGGGTAAGCACGTAATTTTTGACCCGCGTAACTTTTAAAAGGAATATTTTAAAAATATTTGTTTATTTTTATTTTTAATAGAATTTCAGTCAACTTTTAGTTTTAATTTTAAAATATATGTTTGAAAATACAAAAATAGTTTTATTTTTTTAATTTAACACATGTATTAGGTATTTTTAGAAAGATATCACTTTAACCCATTTTTATTTTAGTATAATCCTTAAAATACCAAAAAATAGTTTCATGACATAATATAGATATTTTAATTAATTAGGATTGATTTTATATTTTTATGGTATGATATTTTAGGAAAAAAAATTAATATTTTAGCTTTGTAGAGTTAAAGGGCCATCTTTAAAGGCAAATTTGGCCCAAACTTGAGCCCAATTTCTAACAACCCATTTACCCATTCCCTAACTCACAACCCTTTTATAATAAAAATAAAACCTAATTTCCTACGCCCTAACAACCCCAGCCCCCCTCAGAAGAGAGCAGCGCCTCCCCACTCCCATTTTCGGATTTCATTCTTCTTCATGTTCTCAACTGAAGAACCCCTGTTTCGACCAGGGAATCAGACCCCGCCCCTTCCGTTCAGAACAGACAGAAACGAATTCCTCCTTTTGAGAAAAAAACCTAGCCGTCATCCCTTCTCCTTCTCTTTTCCTTCCTTACTCACACGCAGATACACTTAAGAACACACAAAAACGGCTGAAATAAAAAAAATCATCCGCTGAAATCTACTAAAAAAAGGGGAGAAAATTAAAATAGCAAAGACCAAGAGTAATTTCCATTGAAGAAAGGAAAGGAAATCTGTGTTTAAATCTCACTTGGAAATGAAGTGTTAATCGTCAATTTTTGGGCGTTCTAAGAGCTGTTTCGAGCTGAAATTAGTTGTCACTGCACTTCAACTGTTGCTGAAATCCATCCTTCATTTTCCTGGTCTTTATTTGGTCCAAATCTCTTTTCCTTGTCCCTTTTAAGAAATTTAGGTTCAAAAATGGGGTCAAGCTGAAGTGGGTTTTCGATTTGGAGTGTCCGTTCGAGATCGGTTCTCGGTTCCTGATTCATATTGTTGCTGTATTTTCTTCGGGACTTCATCTCGTCGAATCTGTGGCAAAAACATTTCTTTACATATTAAAGGAGAAGCACTTAACAGGTTCATTTCTATTAATTCCTCTTTATTTTGCTAATTACTGTGAATCAAACTTTAAAAGAGCCATTAAAAGATCGGGTTTAATTTACAATGATAATGTGTGCTTTCATCAGTCATGTTTGATTAACGTTTTCCCAAGTGAAATCCGTATCCATGTAATTGGAAATTTTCTCATGTTTATATGTTTAGCCACTATAAATGAATAATTGTTCATTGTAATATGGTGAACCCATATGATTGTGGGTCTGCAATTGAAAATTCTCATTCTGTAAGTAATCGAAACCATGTTGGCCATGCTAATGTTTTGGTACCGTTGTGTTCACGTTTGGTCTTCTGTCTCAATATTATTTTGTTTCGCTTGTGTTTGTGTTCCCATTCTGTATCTCTGTATTTTGTTTCGTTTATGTTCACGTTTTGTGTTTGTGTTCATATGTTTTAATGTTACGTTTTGTGTTCACGTTTATGTGTTATTTTGTTTCGTTTTGCCGTAATAGGCTCATCTGTATAAACTTTTGGTTGTAATTCACGATTAATTGGTTTGAGAATGTTGAAGATTCTGTTTGATCTTATAGGAATTGACCCTTTTAAGTGTATATGGGTTTAGATAGAAACTGATCCAAAATATCAATAAGGCTACAAGCTAATACACTTCCCTGTAACTAATTTATTTTATTCCTCCCATAATAATTTCCATAATTCATGGCCTCACATTAATCTCAAATCTTAGGAAAATAAATATTCATAAACATCATAGCTTGCTTTAGGCGCGATCAATAATAAATCATCTTGACTATGGTACGGTTCCTACCAAAAGTGTGAAGTTTCTACCGTGTGATTATAACACATCACTCGTCACGTCAGCGAGTTGTCACTCTGTAAATTCCACATCAGAAAATAAACATTTAAAAGAAAAGAAAATAATTCAACTTCATTTCGGATTTCTCTTTATTTAATTTGTTACAAAGAGTATTAGCATCTGCTCAATTACATTTCTCTTGTTCATATAGGTTGTGTTCCAACTAATTTGTTGGCTTTCACTCTGATTTGTTTAATATAAGGGCACCTCGGTACTACTAATATAAGGACAAATTTTGTAGCTAAATAGAAAAATTCGTCGCTAATCCAATTTAACGACTGAGTAGTGACAGATTATCAAGATATTCTGTTAGCTACGAGTGATTTAGCCAGTGGCGGACCCAAGTGGTAGTTGAACCCGCTTCACAAAAAAATAATACTGTGTATATGTATAAATTAGGATTAAAGTTATGTAAATTTTGCATAAATATTTTATTTGAACCCACTTGACAACTACTATTTTACGATTAAATTTATATACTTCTAAGATTGAACCCGCTTGCACAAAATCTTGGGTCCGCTACTGGATTTAACGACGAAGTCCGTAACTAATTCCATTCTTTTTTTTTTTGTAGAGGAAGCATCCCGAGTTTAAGCAGGTCCGGGGAAGGACTGCATCCCAAGGGTGTGTGATGTAGCGAGTCTACCCTGATGCAAGTATCAATGGCTCACGGCTCGAACCTGTGACCTTTAGGTCACACGGAGATACTTTACTGTTGCTCCAAGGCTCCCCTTCATAATTTAAAGTGAATCAAAGTCAATTTTGAAGTATAGAAACCTCAAAAAATGACATATTGTCTATTGGAAACAGATTGTCAATTTTGAATATTTGTAGAATCTTCATTTGCATATATCAACTCTTAAGCATTTCCATTTTCCCTTTGACCTGAAGGTAGCGGAACGAGCCCTTTCCCTGTGGGATAATGGTCATTTAAGAAATCTAATGATTCAGAATCGAAAGGTGATTTTGCCCATAATTTTCGCAGCATTGAAGGAAAACATGCATTTGCAAACAACGGCGGATTCAGTATAAATTCAATCTTTAAGGTTCTTAGCATTCCCTAGCAGACAAAGGTGAAAAACAGTTTGTTAGGTTTATTTCGGATAGTATATGTACTAAGTTAGCTGAATTTGGTAATCAAAATGTCCTAAGTAGCATCTTTATGGCATGTAATATGACTGGTTCTTAGTAGTACTAATATGAGTAATCCAGTTTCTCAAAAAAATAAAATAAGATTCTTAACATTGAACCTGCTATATTTTTACAGTTATAAATTTATATTTACTATATATTACAATATTAGTAGATTTTAACATATAAATTAATATTTCGCACAGAAAGTACTGCAAAGCTGCATCTGCCCATGTTTTGCAAATCCAGAAGTCACAATTTTCAGCCAGTTGGTGAACACTGAAGACTGAACCATATATAGGAGCATAAGGATTGTTTGTTGTTACTTGATGTCGTTGGAAATGAGCCCAGCATGCTGATAAGTACTCCTGATGGTCCTATATATTTATGTTGGGAAAAATAATAATCTCGTCCAAGAATAATATTCACGACAAATAATAATAACACAAGAGAGTAACAACGACACCAATTCTTTTAATGGGTAAAATACAATACCCGAGCGGAGCAATATAACCACTATAATATTACAACTTAGTAGTGTCAAGAGACTACTACAATCTCGAAAGAAATAACACTCTTTATTTAAAACACTTCACTACAATATTACTCACTCTCACTATTTATCTCATAGACTACAATCTGTGGATTACTCTCTCTAACTTCTATTGCTTCTCTCTTATTTTGGTGTGATTAAAATGAAGAATGAATGCCTCTATTTATAGTAAGAGATGTCATTCAACTACTACAAAAAAGATGTCTTGTTGTTGATTTAATCCTATAATTTTTCAACAAAGTTAGGCACCTCTTATTTTCTTCAACAAAGTTGTCAACAAAATTAAGCACCTCCCATTTTTTTCTTTGTTTTTCTTTAATATGAGCCCCACAAATCTCTCCCTTAATTTTGATTTTTCTTTTTCATTCCAAGACTTGATCTCAATCTCTGAAAATCCTCAAACTTAAGAGGTTTTGTAAAGATATCTGCAGCCTGATCATGAGACTTCATATATTTGAGCTTGACTTCCTTCTTGGCAATGCACTCTCTGATGAAGTGATATTATGTATCTATATGCTTGCTTCGATCATGATACACCGGATTCTTGGCGAGTGCCTGTGCAGATTTGTTATCAATACAAATCTTTGTAGCTTCAATTTGTGGCAAATTGAGCTCCTTCAATAATCTTCTTAGCCAAATAGTATGACAGGTACATGATGTTGCTGCTATATATTCGGCTTCACGAGTCGAGAGAGTAACTATAGACTGTTTCTTTGAACTCCAAGAAATAACAGAATCACCCAAGAACAATACAAAGCCAGTTGTGCTTTTTCTATCATCAATATCTCCCGCATAATCACTATCACAAAATCTCATAAGGTTGAAATCATTAGAAGAAGAATAAAATAACCCAAAGTCGATCGTACCTTTTAGGTAACGAAGAATTCTTCTAGTGACTTTCAAATGGGTGGAGGTAGGAGCTTTCATGAAGCGGCTTACTACTGCAACTGCAACGAGTATATATGGCCTGGTACAAGTCAAGTACCTCAAACTTCCCACAAGACTTTTGAAACTTCATCAAACTTAGACAATTTTGTCTCACTCTCCATCGGCGTGTTCACGGGGTTACAATCGAGCATGTTAAACTTCTTCAAGATCTCCTTTGTATAGCTTTATTGAGAGATGAAAATTTCATCCTCCATCTGCTTCACTTCTAGGCCCAAGTAGTATGACATGAGCCCTACATCTGTCATCTCGAACTCACGAGACATATCTTTCTTAAAAACTTTAAACAAACTTGGGTTATTAACCCGTGAAAATAAGATCATCAACATAAAGACAAACAAGTAAGATATCTCCATTAGTATGAACTTTAAGGTAAAGAGCATATTCATGGAGACAATGAGTAAACCCATTGTTTTGAAAATACTTGTCGATGCAACTATTCCATGCTCGTGGGGCATGCTTTAATCCATATAAAGCTTTCTTCAACCGCAACACTTTATCTTCATAGTTTTTTTTACCACAAAGCCCAATGGTTGTTCAACATAGACTTCTTCTTCAAGATAGCCATTCAAAAAAGCTGACTTGACATCTAGTTGATGGATCTTCCACTTCATTTGCGCCGCCAAAGAGATAAGCAAACGAATTGTCTCCATGCAGGCAACAAATGCATAGACTTCTTCATAATCAATGCCTTGCCTTTGCTTGTAGCCTTTCGCCACAAGTCGTGCCTTGTATCTCTCCACATCTCCATCAGTATTCTTCTTTGCCTTGTATACCTATTTAACTCCAATTGCTCGATGACCCTTTGGAAGTGTTGTTAACTCCTAAGTGTTGTTCTTCTCTATTGACTCGATCTTCTCCTGCATGGCTTGTCTCCACCTTTTGTCTTCAACATCTTCATCAAAGTTCATTGGTTCACTATCAGCAAAGAGACAATATAAAAAATTAAACTTAGTAACTTCATCTGTCTCCTCATAGAGTTCTTGAATACTCTTTGTCCTTTGCGGTTGTTCATTTGAACTTTCTTGAGAAGAGGGAGATGCAACATTTATTGGAGAAGGAGGTGGAGTTGTATCCTGCACAGGTTTCACGGTCTCTGGTTCTTCTTCATCACCAAAGTATGGAAGAAAATCATATGAAGTTTCTTCCTGAGCTTCCCAGTTCCATGTCAATTTTTCATCAAATTCAACATCGCGACTTACCACCATCTTGCCGCTACTTGGGTTGTATAGCTTGTATCCTTTTGAACTCGTATCATAGCCAACAAACACATGCTTGACACTTCGATCGTCAAGCTTCACTCTCCCTTGATATGGCACATGAGCATAGGCTATGCTCCCAAAGATTCTCAAGTGCTTGACACTTGGCTTTCTTCCACTCCGTGCTTCTTGAGGGGTTTGATCTCTAACATTCTTTGTTGGAGACCTGTTGTTCAAATAAACTGCATAAGATACAGCTTCTGCCCAAAATTCATTGGGCATATTTTTAGCTTTTAACATACATCTAGCCATATTAAGAATCGTTTGATTCTTTCTCTTTACAACTCCATTTTGTTGGCGTGAATAAGGTACCGTTAGAGGGCGACGAATTTCATGAGATTTACAAAAGTCATTAAATTCTTTTGAAGTGAATTCGCCTCCTCTATCTGACCTTAAAGCTTTTATTTTATAGCCACTTTCTTTTTCTACAAGTACTTTGAAATTTTTAAAAGTAGCAAAAGCTTCAGATTTTTTGTTCAAGAAATAAACCCAAGTCTTTCTATTAAAGTCATCAATGAAAAGTAGAAAGTATTTACTTTTATCAAAGTAAGGTGGATTGATTGGTCCACACACATCAGTGTGAACAAGCTGAAGCGGCTTGGTTGATCTTGACATGACCTCCTTTGGAAAACTCCTCCTTGCATATTTTCCAATAAGACAAGCTTCACACAATTGATTGGGATAGCTTATTGATGGTATCCCATGCACCATGTTCTTTTCTCCAATTGATTTGAGCGCTTCAAAATTTAAGTGCCCAAATCGCATGTGCCAACACCATGATTCATCTTGCACATTAGCCTTCAAATACTTTGCATCAATTGTCTTAAGATTCAGAGAGAATAATCTATTCTTAGCCATATGCACTTTAGCAATTAGAATTCCACTTGAATCTCTAAGCCAAAGATGCATATTTTTCATGTGGATGTCATATTCCTTTTTAAGAAGTTGGCCCAAACTTAAAATATTACTTTTTAATTTTGGGACATAATAAACATCTTGAATTAACTTGTGATTATCATCTTTACAAGAGATCAGAATCGTACCTATCCCTTCAATTTGAATCTTTGAGGTATCTCCAAAGGACACATTACCTCTCACCGTTTTATTGATCTCCACAAACTTATCTTTGCATCCACACATATGATTTCTTGCTCCATTGTCCAAATACCATGAGCTACAATCATTCTTGTCTTCTTCCTTGAGTGTTATCAATAACGTTGACTCAACTTCTTCTTTCTTGTCGTCAACAAGGTTAGCTTTTTCCTCAATATTACTACGACATTTCCAAGAGTAATGGCCAAATTTATGATAATTATAACACTCAATTTTTGATTTGTCATACCTTTGTCCATTATTTTCTTGGTGGTAGCCACATCTTCTTCCTCCTCTATGTCCACGACCACGATCTCTGAATGTCTGGTAGATTTTAACTTCATTGTTGAAGTTGTTAGCGTTGCTTCTTCCTCTTCCATGACTGCCATGACCTCGTCCCAGTCCATTCTCTCGATAGCTCTTTTCACCTCCATAATCTTTGAATGATGCCTGAGTTTGAAGAAGTTGCTCCAATGGCACTTCTTGTCTCCTCTTGATCTTTTCTTCATGGTCCTGTAAAGAACCCTCCAATTGCTCTACCATCATAGAGTCTAAATCTTTAGACTCCTCAATAACATACACCACAAAATCAAATTTATGTGTTAAAGTGCGAAGGATCTTTTCTACCTCACAGACATCTTTTATGTCCTCTACATATCTTCTTAATTGATTTACAACAGCCTTCACTTTTAAACAATAATCTGAAATGCATTCGGATTCTTTCATTTTTAAAACTTCAAAATCAGCCCTTAGAGTTTGAAGTTTTACCTTTCTCTCCTTGTCAACTCCTTGAAGGGAATTTTGTAAAATCTCTCAAGCTTCCTTTGAGGTGGTAGTATCTGTCACCTTCTCGAACATAGCATCATCCAGACATTGATGGATGAGTGTGAGGGCTTGTTGATCATTCTTCCTAGTCTTTGCCAAGACATCTTTTTCATTTTGAGGCAGAGCTTCCTCATTATCGAGTTTTGCATACCCTCTATCTACGAGTTCCCACACATCCTGAGAGCTAAGAATGACTTTCATACGTAGACACCATTTCTCATAATTATCTTTTGTGAGACGGGGGTACTGAAAAGATAGCGTACCATTATTTGCCATGGCTCTGATACCACGTTGTTGGGAAAAATAATAATTCCGCCCAGGAATAATATCCACGATAAATAATAATAACATAAGAGAGTAACAACGACACCAATTCTTTTAATGGGTAAAATACAATACCCGAGCGGAGCAATATAACTACTATAATATTACAACTTAGTAGTGTCAAGAGACTACTACAATCTTGAAAGAAATAACACTTTTTATTTAAAACACTTCACTACAATATTACTCACTCTCACTATTTATCTCATAGACTACAATCTGTGGATTACTCTCTCTAACTTCCATTGCTTCTCACTTATTTTGGCGTGATTGAAATGAAGAATGGAGGCCTCTATTTATAGTAAGAGATGTCATTCAACTACTACAAAAAAGATGTCTTGTTATTGATTTAGTCCTTTAATTTTTCAACAAAGTTAGGCACCTCCCATTTTCTTCAATAAAGTTAGGCACCTCCCATTTTCTTCAACAAAGTTGTCAACAAAGTTAGGCACCTCCCATTTTCTTCAATAAAGTTAGGCACCTCCCATTTTCTTCAACAAAGTTGTCAACAAAGTTAGGCACCTCCCATTTTCTTCTTTGTTTTTCTTTAATATGAGCCCCGCAATTTAGTCGTTTAGGCAAACTGAGTTAGCTTAATTTTCTTTTTAAGCAAAAAAGATGTCATTTATTGCCTTTTTTCCATCCAAATTATTTCAGTTAGTAGAGTATTAATTAAATGAGATGTTTATAAGAGAGACAAGGGCAAATGCAAGAACTTAAAAGATAGATAATATGGACCAAAGATAGTATGATGTCGTAGATGTGGTGAGAGGCGAAAATAGAATTTTCATCAAGCGGATTCAAAAAAAAAAGAAGCAAATATATAAAAAGATCAAAGTGATTCAACAACTAATTTAAATATATAAATAAACCTTTAACCTAATATACACAATGTAATTTTATGTGAAGGGGTTTCGTATGAACTCCCTTCCGCCACCCTGGCTCCACCCGTGGATGTGGTAGCTCTTTGATATTTCTTGCTAATAATATTTTCTCGCGTCATGGTGGTTAGAATGGACGGGTTGGAGAGAATCTGAGCGGGTCAAACTGAGATGAGTTAATAAATAGATTGGTCATTAATCCACCAAAATTAGGGTGGGTTGGTCAGATCATGTTATGACACCCCTATAGGTGGTACCACATTGACGCCTTTATGATTCAGTAACTCCATCTTTTCTTTCTCCAATTGTTCCTAGCTATTGTGAGACTAATCGAGTATCACTACTAGAAATTCGCTATTTTTTGACTATCAAAATAATCGAAAAGTAGTCGGAAAGGTACCTATTTCGACTATTTTCAGACTGATTTAGACTAGTCGGAAAAGTTTTTCCGCCAAAAATTCGAAAAGGGAGAAAATTATTATTTATTTTAAAAATATTTTCGACTACTGTAGCCGGAATATTATATAAATAATAATTATTTATTAGTTATTTTTATTTTATTTTTCGACCATAGTAATCGGAATGTTGAATTTTCTGAAAAGTTTCTGTAATTTTCTGACTACCGTATTCGTAAAATGCATTATTCTTGGCACATTTTCTGACTACTGTAATCGAAAATTCATTATTCTGGGCACATTTTCGACTACAGTAGTCGAAAAATTAATTTTTGGCAGAATACGCATTTTATTAGCACACCACCTGTCAAATGACCAATACATAAACAACCAATTCAACCAATCAATTCCAACTAAACAACCAACTCAATCAACCAGTTCCAACTAAACAATCTAATAATCCAAGCAACCAATTCCAACTTTAACATACAAATATTCAAATCCCATAATATCAAACCAAAACATTAGTTAAAGTCTAAATATTCAATATCAAGTCTAAGTAGCTAATACACATCAACACTAACATAATAAAGTCTAAACATATATACCACATCATCCAAATCTACCATAAAATTTAAATATAAAATCTAAACATTCAAGAATAGTAATCAACCATAAACCACTACTACACGTCAGATTCAGTCTCTTCATCATCATAAGAGTGGGGCATGTGCCTTTTCATGTATTTATCCACTCTAGCAATGTGAGTTTCGGTTGTTTCACACCGTTTCGATAGCAACTCAATTTGCTTTCGCATTGCTTCCATTTCTTCCTGATTTTGCGCAGTAGGAGCATCCGAAAATAATGGCGATGGACGAAAAGAGGAAGGTCGTTGTACTCCAAGCACGTAAATTATTCCTTTGGATACACCACCTGCCACATATGCCCATATTGAAGTCATATCATCGGGTGATGGTTGGATTGGGGTACCATCATCAGAAGCAGGCTGCGTCTGACACCATTCATCCAAACTTCTATGATATCTATCCTGAAATAAAAGTAATAAGGATTATATAAATAAATTAATATCAAAGTAAAATGAAAATAGTTTTAAAGTTATGATCTTATATATTGTTCTGATACACGTGACTCAACCCATCCTTCTCTTAAACTATCTTTCTTCATTTTCTTATGTGTCTCACCATGAGATACTGGTCCCCCTTTTAACTTTTCCTGCAAAATTAATAGGATATATAATTTAGAAAAAGTTCAATAGTGTTCAAACAAAACCAAAGAAAATAAAGGTGAAAATTACCAATCTCCGTCGATGCGCAACAAAACTCATAGATCCCCCGGAGTGCAACGAGCCACCCTTTTGAGAGGCTCGGGCTGCCTTTGCTCGTTCACTCTTCTTCTTAAATGCATCACTATCCCATATTGCTAAAAAAATTATCCACACATCTTCTCTTATCCAATCAAGCTTCTTCCTCTTTTCTCGACCTTCAAACAATGAATCTGCAATCCTTTTTTTTGCTTTCTTCTCCTTCTCGACATCTTTTATTTCATTGTCATATCGTTTCTCCCGCACACACTTAAGTAAATAATATCAATCACAAAGACAAAAGGGGTATATATTCTTGAGGTATATTAAGTATCAGCATCTAAACCAAACTACAACAATGCATTTTACATGAAAGAAAAGAGTACCAATAGAAACACAAAGATAATACCTTTTATTGTTCTTGTCTCTCTGCCTCGACATAATTCACCAAATTCTTAACATTTTATTTTAATCTTATCCTTGAAAAAGAAGTACAACTCTGCAATATTGCACCTTACTCATTAAATATTTAAAGCTTTTAGTCAATTGAGTGAACTCCCATATAGTTCAACAAGATTGAGATTCCATCTCAATATAAGTTTACTCTTATTTTTGTAGTTCTAAAATTAGTTCAGTCCAACTACCATTGTAAGTTCCATGTCACTCAAATTTAATATCTCCTAAGCTTTTGACACTAAGTAGCTGCAGACAAATTAACATGTGCTTTCAGCACTCAAATTGAACACACACACACACACACCGCGCGCGCACACAAAAAACATATATATACACACATAAATCCATACATATAGAGATAGAGTGTGTGTGTGTCTGTGTATAGGGAAGAGAGGACAAAACAGTTTTTGTAGGACAAAAAAGAAGAAGCAAGAAGCTGTTTCCTTTTTTCAAACATCCAAATGAACATAGAAAGACTTAAAAAAATATACACACAACAAAAAAAAAAGGAAAAAAAGCTTGAACTCCAAGCAAGTAATACCAAAACAATATGAAAGTACAACATAAATTCCTATGTACATTTGTTTAAAAATGGAACAAGAACAGTCTAAAAAAAGCTCGGTCACAACTGATATTTTCTATTTACATTACAGTGCTCTTACTGTAGATTCTCTATTTGCATTATCCAACCAAGTAATTAGACAATAGATATAAGAAAGCAAAAGCTCGGTCAAAACTGGTATTTTCAATAAGCACGATTAAATAAAGCATCAAAACATAGTTGCACTACCAGAACTCTGGAAACATTGAGGGCCCTCCTACATTCCACTATTTGAAGGGAGAAAACCAACAGAGAGATCTGTAAAATTGAAGAAATATGTAAATGTAATTTGTATTACAAGTAATATTCAGGGCATAATCATTTACAACAACATTTATGCCTCTAAGGTGTAAATAAAATCTTAACATTAACCATAGTGGTGCCGTTGATTTTGCACACTAAAAATGAAACCCTAGTCTTGGCTAAAGATTAGATGGAGAGAGAAATAGAGAGAGAGCATACTTGATGAAGACTCTGTCGCGGATTTTGCTGGTGCCGTTGAGAACGTACTTGAGAGAGGCGAGGAGAGAGTATAGAGAGAGATACAGAGTAAGAGAGTGGGAAAAAAGAATTAGAAAAATAAGGGGTTAGGCAAAAAATAACATAACTTTTCCAACTACTATAGTCGCTAAGTACGGTCTGCCAAACTTCCGACTACTGTAGTCGTAAACTATATACTATTATTTAGTTTTTTTTATAAAAAACATTCCGACTACAACTGTCAGGACCATTTGGTCAAAAGTAGTTTGACTTTTACTATCTGATGAAAATTCTCGGCGGAATTTTCCGCGAAACTTTACGATTATATTAGTCGAAAACATAGTCGGAATAATTCTTAAAAATAAATTAAAAAATAAATATGAGGTTTCCGACTATAGTAGTCAAAAAATTGCGACTGGCATTTTATAGTTGGAATTTGTAGTCGGAAAAAAGGGATTTTCTGGTAGTGTATATTGTAATGGGTTCTTTTTGGTACAAATATAATCCGGTTGCTGATATTTATATCATCAGTGTAATGAGCCAAGCAATAGTCATGATAGTTAGTTGGTTGTAACTTAAGTTTACTATGGTTAGTAGTAGAGTTAGTTAACTACAGCTTAATAGTAGAGTTAATTTTATTTTTCATTTCTACATATACATGTACAACTGGATAAGAATTCAATTGAATCTTTTAGAATATTCTCTCTATTTTCATTCTCTGCTCTGCACTTACTCAGTTCAATAGGTCATCTTTTATTCAGCTCAAACTCCATGGCAGAGCTTTATGGATAGCTGAATTTGACATGGTATCAGAGCCACACGACTATTAGTGTGGTCTTCTTCTTCTCAAATACTTCTTTACAAGCTCATTCGTTGGACTCATCAATGGTGACAATAGATAATACCGAACCGGAGAAGCTGAGCCATAATCATCCTCTGTTCCTGAATTCGAATGATAATTCAGGTGCAATTTTTATTTTCTTACAACTACGAGGACCGGAAAATTACTCCGTTTGGAGCCAGGTGATGAAAATTGCCATCCTAGGCCGAAGTAAGCTAGGGTTCATCGACGGCACATGTAAAAGGGAGAATTACGGCACGAACCTCGTTGATCTCTGGGAGCGATGCAATGCGATCGTATTATCGTGGTTAATGAATTGTGTTTCACCAGATTTACTCAGTGGAATAGTCTATTCCTCGAATGCCAGTGCAATTTCGAATGACTTGAAGGAGAGGCTTGACAAAGTCAATTGTTCTAGAATATTTCAAATTCATAAAGAAATTGCCACTGCAAGTAAGGGTACCAGCTCGATCTCAGCTTATTTCTCAAAATTGAAGCTGCTTTGGGCAGAGATTGACAGTTTGGCCCTAATTCTGGGATGTGATTGTGCGAAATCTCATGAATTTATTCAATTCATGGAGCTTCAGAAACTTATACAATTTTTAATGGAGCTAAATGAGTCCTATGAACAAGCACGTAGCCAACTCTTGATGATGGTTCATGTTCCATCTATGAACAAAGCCTACTCTATGTTAATGGAACGTGAGTGTCAAAGGACTATGTCCAACACCTTTACCACTATTGATGGGGCGAAATGGCGGCACTGATGATAACTAGATTTGGGAATCAGCAGAGGCCAAAGAAAAATTACAATCTTCAGTGTGATGTCTGCCACATGAAAGGCCACACTAAAGAAACTTGCTACAGGGTAGTAGGATATAAAAAAGATAAAAAATTTAGGAAGAAGTACAACTCACAGGCAACAGTTAACTTTGAGGCTGAAGATGTTCCAACAACCACAATTGGTTCCACTCTTATGGCTCGCACATTTACTCAAGAACAATATCAACAAATTTTACAACTGCTTAAAGGCAAGAAAACTGAAATAGCAGCTAATGCAACAGGAATGGATTCAAGTATTATAATGTCCCTAATGTCTAACTTGGATCAAGATGTTTGGATTGTAGATAGTGGTGCCTCTAATAATATGGTTTCAAAGCTAGAAACATTAGATAGTCTGACCTCATTCCTAAAGGATAATTCAGTTTATTTGCCAAATGGAGATGTGGCTGCAATTACACATAGTGGATCAACTAGTATATTCAAGACTAGAAGATTAATGATGTTCTTCATGTTCCAAATTTTAAGTATAACCTACTGTCACTTTCAAAATTGATAAAAGAGTTGCAGTGTTTGGTAGCTTTCTTTCCTGATATGTGTGTGTTTCAGGATCTCTATACTGGGAAGGCGTTGGGGATTGGTAGTGAAACAAATGGATTGTGCATACTCAAATATTGCATACGCAGGAGGAAGCTTTCTACACCAACTGTACATACCACAATCATGCCTACTTCTATGTCAGTTAGTCGAGATTCAACAAAGCTGGGGACATGGCACCAGAGACTTGGCCACCTACCTATGGAGGCACTTAAGAGGATTGATAAATTCAAGAATCTCCACATTAGTAACAGAAACAGTGATTGTGTAATGTGTCATGTTTGTCCATTAGCTAGGCAGACTCGGTTGCCATTTCCAGTTAGTACTAGTAGAGCAAAGGCTCCATTAGATCTTTTGCATGCTAATGTATGGGGACCATTCAGAGTACCCACTTATGATAGCAAAAGGTTTTTTCTTATAGTTGTGAATGATTTCTCTAGAATCACTTGGCTCTTCTTGATGAATGCTAAAGATGAGACTTGTTGGTTAATGAAAAGATTGTTCTCTATGATCAGTACTCAGTTTGATTGTTCTGTTAAGATCTTGAGAACATATAATGGCTCTGAATTTGTTAATTTAAATATGAAGCAGTTAGTTGAGACATTAGAAATTATACGTCAAACCACATGTGTTTATACTCCGCAGCAGAATGGCATAGTGGAAAGAAGATATAGATACATCCTTGAAACAACTAGGGCTTTGAGATTTCAAGCTGCAGCACGCCTAAACTTCTGGGGTGAGTGTGTTCTTACAATAGTACACATAATTAACAGATTGCCTTCTACAACCTTGAAAGGAAAGTCTCTTTATGAAATGTTCTTTAATATTGCACCATTATTAGATCACCTTAGGGTCTTTGGGTATTTATGTTATGCTGTAAATGTAAGGAAACAAGACAAGTTCTCTGCTAGGTCATTGCCAACAGTGTTTATGGGATACTTACCAACAAAAGGGGGTTATAAATTGTATGACTTGTAGTCCAACCAGTTTTTAATCGGTAGAGATGTGGTGTTTAAGGAGCATGTATTTCCTTTGAAACAAATGAAGATGCTACCTAATCCCTTACTCCCAGTTCTTGAGTTAACAAGTGAGCATTTACCCTCACATGTTCTTGATGTTGTTCAGGAGGGTCCACCTACATCTACCAATAACTTTGCATTTAGTGATGTTGATTCACCAATGAGTCCTGAGGCACAATTTGATATTCCTGCATCATACAATGTTGACACTCCTCAATCTTCCTCACATGTAGAGGATGCTCAACCCATTGCAGTCAGAAAGTCCCAAAGTACAACTGGTCCTCCCAGATGAATGCAAGATTATGTGACAAGATCTTGCATATCCTATGTCCAATTATTTGAGTTATGATGGTTTATCTCCCTTATATTTAAAGTGTCCCACTGCACAATCAGTCATTGTTGATCCCAAATATTACTTTGAGGCATCCAAAGATGCAAGATAGGTCATTGCTATACAATATGAAATTCAAGCTTTGGAAGACAACTTGGGATATAGTTGATCTACCTAAAGGTAAAACTCCTACAGGATGCAAATGGGTATACAAAGTCAAATACAAAGCCAATGGGGAGGTGGAAAGGTTCAAGGCTAGGCTTGTAGCCAAAGGCTTCAGCCAAAAGGAAGGTTTAGACTATAAGGAGACCTTTTCTCCTGTAGCTAAAATGGTGACCGTCAGGTCAGTCATAGCTGCAGCTGCTTCAGAGCATTGGTACATCTATCAGATGGATGTGCACAATGCCTTCTTACAGGATGATCTCTTTGAAGAGGTATATATGCATCTTCCTCAAGGTTTTGGCGCCATGGGGGAGTCTAGAGCCAAGGTGTGCAAATTGAGAAAGTCACTTTATGGCCTCAAGCAAGCATCTAGGCAGTGGAACCTGGAGCTCAGATTCTTCTTAGGCATAGAATTTTACAGAAGTAAGGCTGGTATTCTAATGAATCAGCGGAAATATGCCATTGATTTGATCTCTGATTCAGGGCTAGGGGGAGGAAAACCAGTGTCGACACCACTATAAGTCCATCAGAAGCTCACATTAGTGGAATTTGATGAAGCTACGAAGACCAAGGATGATGATGACACTATACTGGAAGATGTTGAACCTTACCAAAGACTGGTAGGAAAGTTGCTCTACCTTACCATGACCAGACATGATATAGCCTATGTGGTTCAGGTTCTGAGCCAATTCATGCACAAACCTAAAAGGTCACACATGAATGCAACCTTAAGAGTGATCAGATATGTGAAGAATGCTCCAGGTTTGGGGTTATTGATGTCCTCTAGACAAGCTCACACTTTGGTTTCTTACTGTGACTCCGACTGGGAAGCCTGCCCACAGTCCAGAAAATCAGTCACAGGGTACATTCTGAAGTACATGCAATCACTTATTTCTTGGAAATCCAAAAAACAAAGCACAATGTCAAAAAGTTCAGTAGAGGCAGAGTTTAGAAGCATGGCTTCAACAGTGGCTGAACTATCATGGCTCATGGGACTGTTCAAGGAACTAGGCATCAATGTGACATTGCCCAAAGACCTCTTTTGTGACAGCAAAGCAACTCTCTAGATAGCTGGCAATCCAATATTTTACGAGATGACCAAATACATAGACATCGATTGTCATTTTGTACGGGAGAAGTTGCAGCAGGGTCTTATTGAAACTCATCATGTTAGTACTAAAGATCAACTTGCAGACTTACTTACCAAAGGCCTTGGGAAGACACCACACTATCATCTATTGAGCAAGCTGGGAGTAGAGAATTTGTTTTTACCCTCCAGCTTGAGGGGGAGTAATGAGCCAAGCAATAGTCATGACAGTTAGTTAGTTGTAACTTAAGTTTACTATGGTTAGTAGTAGAGTTAGTTAACTACAACTTAGTAGTAGAGTTAGTTTTATTTTTTATTTCTACATATACATGTACAACTGGATAAGAATTCAACTGAATCTTTTGGAATATTCTCTCCATTTCCATTCTCTGCTCTGCCGACTTACTCAGTTCAATAGGTCATCTTTCATTCAACTCAAACTCCATGGCAGAGTTTCATGGATAGCTGAATTTGACATAGTGATGGACTAAGTGAGCTCTCCAATAGTGCACCGAAACGGGGCCGGAGAGACGGATAAGAATTCAACTGAATCTTCTGGAATATTCTCTCTATTTCCATTCTCTGCTCTGCCGACTTACTCAGTTCAATAGGTCATCTTTCATTCAGCTCAAACTCCATGGCAGAGCTTCATGGATAGCTGAATTTGACACAGTGATGGACTAATTAATATATTCGAGATTTCCTATCGATATTTTTTTAATCTTTTCGGGCGGCTTTACATTATTAGATTCAAAAGGTAGAATATTTTTGCAAGAATGCAGCTCAATCATGTCTACGTCGTGCATAAGCAAAATTAAGGTTTCACAAATATCAAATCTCAAAACGACTGAAGTAACAATAATATTTTTTTTTTCAGCACGTAATGTGAGAATGATAGCTTGAGAATAAAGTGTGAGAAAATAGGATAGCATAGTCACTTACAATTTGCAATTAGGAAAATCACTTCGTCCTTTTTAATGTTTTCCTTTTCAATTAATTTTGTTTTACAGATTTTTCCTGTGTGGTATAAGGAAAGCTTTTGTTTGCAATCTAAACTTAAAAAGGTACTTATTTGCAAAAGAAATTATCTTTTTCTTTGGGTTAATATGCCTGACTAAGAGAGTAGGAACCAGTGTATAGATTCATTCTCACCAAAGTCAATTTATAAAGGTTATTCCAATCCAAAAAAGTCCAAATTAAACTGCTAGTGTCAACAATTGTCTTAATATAAGCGAGAAAATATCTGGTTGTCGATGATTTTAATATTAGGTTCACTTTTACGATATGTTTTATTTTCTCTTCATTTTCCAGAGTTAGGCTACTCTACCGTCACTAACAATAACATTTCTTGATATTTATGGAGAAGCCAATCTCTGGGTTAATTTCGATGCTCTCCCTGGGGACCCTGAAGTTTCAAATATTGAGAGGTAGTTGTCCAATATAATGGGTCATTTGGTTCGTGGACAAGGTTATCCGGAGATTATAATACCTGGATTAATAATTCCGGAATTATTTAGTGTTATATATTTCGTTTGGTACATTAGATAAAAAATGGGATATGCAATATATAATTTAAAACATGTATTTGTTTTAAAGCTGGATAAATTTTATTTTCAATTTTAACCTTGGATGTTCTTGTGGCTTAAAAAATTGTTCACTACACACATGTAAACTATAGTGGAGGTAGTTATACAAATTCCTTTTCTTCTAGTTGTTCTTGGCCATTTCTGTTTGAGATGGGAAATGGAATAAAGATTACAATCTCCGGTCAAAATGTAGTGACGAGTAGTGGTCTGGTATTATTATTCGTACATTATTGTAGAAATAGAGAATCCATACAAATGCGAATGATAATTGTGCATATTAGAACAACAAGGAGAAGCCTCAACACTAGCTGTGCACATGAAATCAAGTCCTCAAAAAATGCAGAATCTGATTAAGCCTTAGAAATGTCACGACCCAAACTCTCCCTCCGTGAATCGTCGTGACGGCACCTAGTCTCTACGACTAGGTAAGCCTATCACTTGCGGAAAAAAAATAAAAAACATGAAAATTAACAACTAACAGTAACAAATATTTTTAATAAGCAATTGACATGCCGTTCGGCATGTACAATAATCAACTCTCGAAATATACAAAACACTCCCAAGACCCGGAACACCGTAAGTCACAAGGTTCTACGAAGTTCTAACAGTTCTATACATCAGTGTCTATAGAAATAAGAGAAAAATCAACATAGGGGGATAGAGGGGGACTCCGAGGATCTGCGGGCGCGGGCAGATGTACTTTGAAGTTCTCGAAAACAACATCGACTGCAACTAAATACGAGGCTGGTAAAAGGAACCTGGATCTGCACACGAAAAACATGTGCAGGAAAGGGCGTGAGTACACTACAACGGTACCCAGTAAGTGCCAAGCCTAACCTCGGCCGAGTAGTGATGAGGTCAGGTTAGGGCCATACTGGTATATAATAAATAAGCAGGAGAGTATAAAAATATAATAAGAGACTGGAATTTAAACAAAGAGTACATAGCAAAGTAGCACGCAGAACACAAGGATAAACAGTAGAGGATCTCCCGAGATACTGTCTCGTAGTCCCAAAAATAAAGGTGCAAGGAGATCTCCCGAAGTACCGCCTCGTAGTCTCAAAGTAAATATGCAGGGAGAATTCCCGAGGAACCGCCTCGTAGTCTCAAAAGTAAATGTGCCGGGAGAACTCCCGAGGAACCACCTCGTAGTCTCAAAGGTAAATATGCAGGGGATCTCCCGGGATACCGTCCCGTAGTCCCAAAGTAAATACGCAGCTCAAACGAATAAATATAACAGTTACAGCACGAAACCTATAATTTAGACTAAGTACAAGTCAAGAAAAAAGTAGGATTCTTCTAAACATGCTGCAAAGAGTTCAAATAGGCAATTAGTATACGTAGACATGCTATTCTAGGCTACCAGGATAACTACACATGCTAGTATACTCAGCTAAGGTGAAAACAGGCTATTACTCGGTAAAAATCAAGTTTTTTCTACAATAGCCCGTGTACGCACTCGTCACCTCGCGTACACGGCGCTCACATATCATAACAACACCAAATCCTAAGGGGATTTCCCCCACGCAAGGTTAGGCAAGCCACTTACCTCAAACTAAGCTCAATCAATCTGTGACAATGCTCTTTCCACGAAAATTCGACTCTTAATGGCCCAAATCTAGCCAAAATCAATGACATACCATAAATACAACTATAAGAAATTAATCTAATTAATGAAATCAAAGCTAAGGCAAGAAATTAGAAAATCGCCCCAAAAAGTCTCCTCTGGCCTATGTCTTGGAATCGGATAAAAGTCACAAAATATGAACACCCATTCACTCATGAGTTCACTCGTACCAAAATTTCTCAAATCCGATACCAAAATCTCGATCAAAATCCCAAAATTCGGCCTAAGAACTTTTCTCAAATTTTTCCCAATTTTCCAACCCAAATCACTAATTTAATAATAAAAATTAACCAAAACTAGGTAAGAATCACTTACCCCAAACACCCACGTGAAAATCCCTCCAAAAATCGCCTAATTTCGAGCTCTCAAGTCCAAATGGTGAAAAATGACATAAACCCTCGATTTGAACCTTTAAATCTCCCCAGAAATTTCTTAATCGCGATCGCAAAAATAGCCTCGCGATCGCGAAGAACAACTTCACTGCCCCAAGATTTAACCCTACGTGAACGCGAAAATCTCCACGCGAACGCGGTTCACTAGCCCTCATGCTTACGCGAACGCGAACAACCCCACGCGTTCGCGAAGAATAACACTTAAATTCCACTGCTGCTTTACTTCTTCTTCGCGAACACGGCCTAGCCCACGCGTTCGCGATGCACAATCTGACCAACCAACACGATTGCGTCCTCGAATTCGCGAACAAGAAGAACAACTTTAGCTGGCCTTCCAGATTGCCTTACGCGATCGTGAGACCTCCCTCGCGAACGCGATGAAGAAAAAGTCTACAACAAAACACCAAAAAATCTGCTATCTTCCTTAAGTCCAAAATGGCCCGTTGAGCATCCGAAACACACCCGAGGCCCCTGAGACCTCAACCAAACATACCAACCAATCCCAAACACCATACGAACTTAGTCGAGCCTTTAATCCACCTCAAACAACGCTAAAATCATGAATCGTCCTCCGATTCAAACTTAAAGAACTTGAAACATTCAAATTCGACAACCGATATTGAAACCTATCAAACCACGTCCGATTGACCCCAAATTTTACACACAGGTCATATTCTACCCCTATGGGCCTATTCCAACTTCCGAAATCGAAATCCGACCCCGGTATCAAAATTCCACTACCGATCCGAATCTCTAAAACTTCGACTTTCGCCATTTCAAGCCTAAATGAGCTATAGACCTTCAAAACACTATTCGGACATGCTCCTAAGTCCAAAATTACCTAACGGAGCTAACGAAATCGACGGAACTCCATTCCGGAGTCGTCTTCACACAGTTCCGACTACGGTCCAAATCCTAAGGCTTAAACCTCTATTTAGGGACTAAGTGTCCCAAAACACTCCAAAAATCAAAACGAAACCTCACGACAAGTTACAATAGCAGAAATAGATATAGGAGAAGCAATTAATAGGGTATCGAGGCTATAACTCTCAAAACGACCGGCCGGGTCGTTACAAGAAAGGTTGCAGTGAAAAGGAAAGAAGGATAATCCGGTCATTTCATAACTTTATCCCAGGATAACTAATCTTGATATTAGTTATCCCACCTAGGATATGGGATAATTTAATCCCAATTTGTGGTATAATTTTATACCGGGTTTAATTAATATCACAAACCAATCATAGGATAAATTTAATCCCAAATTCTATACCATATTATCCCATCTTATCACATGAACCAAACGACCCATAAATGTTCATGCAATACAACCTTTCTCCTAATACGCCAGATGTACTTCTTGAACGTAGACAGTAGA